AGAAGAACATGGATAACTGAAAAGCTATGCTTATCAAACGAGAAAACAGCCCTTCCTTCTTCAGCCACTCTGATACAATAGGCTTGTCATGAACATTACACCACTTATCTTTAGTCACGCACAGAGAATTTCTGACGATATTCGGCAAATGTCTACATCAGGGGTGGCCAACCCACAGCACGTGGCACAGGCAGCCTTTGGGTGTGGCACGTGGCATACCAGGGAGGGAGCAGAAAGCAGAGCAACAGATCAGGTGGGGGAAGGGGATCGGAGTGGCAATTGGGAAGGGTGTAGGGCTCAGCTTGTGGTACACCTGACAAAACAGTCAGCCCCCACAGGTCTAAATGGCACAATGAGGCACTGTATAGACATACCTATGCTAGCTCTGAGCAAACTGGTATGTCTAGACCAGTGATTCTCAACCAAAGCACCCCTCTATAGACTCAAGACATCCCTTGGAAAACGTTAGCTCTTAGTTTTCACTCGTTTTTACCATGGAAAAATAATACGGAATTCTGTTGCAAAGAATTCAAAAAGCCCACCACAGCTCAAAATGGCTTTACCAATTATTTCTATTTGAAATCTCTGATTTTTATCTTGTGAATCATGTTCGCATACCTGGTAGTGCTAACATTGTGTGAAACCCCACACAGCGCCCTTGAAAAGACTTAACTTGCTATGGTCCTGGAAGCAGTATAGCCGGGGCAGGTAACTGTATAACACCACACTGCTCTGTGTAGGCATACATTTAGCCTTCTTGAGAAATACTTAGACTAGAAGACATTCACTGCTGACCCTAATGGAGGCATCCTGGTTAAATCTGTGTTGGAAAAAGTATACTACCTGGAACTAATACCAATTAGAAATAGTTAGGCATGTTGATTTCATACCAGCATAGTTATAAGGGTACAAGATATAGTGCAGAGACAGTTACAGTGGTAAAAAGGTACCCTAATACTTGGATAGTTATTTCCTGAACAATTAGGGATAGCAATTCCGGCTTAACTGTATTGGTATAGTTTAAGTGATACAACCTCCTAAAATAGGAGAAGGGAATAGTTTTCAAATATGCCAGGATCAGTATTTGCTTATCAATAATATACCCAAATATATACTCTATAAAAGTTCATATGAAACAGTAATTAAGTCTTAATATTATTTAAGACACCATACAGAGAAAAACAGCTCTAAATCTTAACACTGCCACCATTACACAGAGTTTTTATTTATTGACTAGTCATATTTATCCGAATTAAATATTTATGATCATGGGGGAAAAAAAAAAACCGTCAGCAAGATCTAGTGGGTGCCTGGCATACACGTGCAGCAAGGCTTCTCCGACGCAAGGCTTCTCCACAGCACGTCAGAGCAGACTTCATTAATCAAGTAATTAATTGCATGCTTACATGCCTTCGACAAGCTTTTGATGAGCCTGCGAGCGTTCAAAGAGTCTGCATGCATTCAACAAGCTTTAGTTAAAAGTGCCCCCGCTACCATTTTTCAGTACGGGGCACTAATACACATGATGCTCCAAGAGCTTTAGTTTGAACAGCTCTCAGTGCCGCTCTAATTAAAGTGCCCCTCCCTCCTACTCCTGAAGCACATGTATAAAAGCTGTGCAAAATAGAATTTCATTGATATTTCACAGAACGAAATACATGTCCATATTTGAATGCATCTTGCATTATTACATCTTGACAATGATTTCCAATTATTATTTATTAGCTGGGTTTGAGGAGATACTATGTTGAGGGATTTTTTTTGGTTGGGTGAGTGTTTTGGGGTTTTTTTTGTTTTTGCTTTTTTATTTTTGTTCTTTTTTACATTTAGCTTAGAGACTTTACTGCATGTCTTCCGTTACAGTCCATTTAGTTTCTGAAAACCAGTACTCAAAATCAAGGCAAATACGCCATCTAGTGTAATGTTTCCAAAAACACTATGGGGGGACTTCTGCATCTAGCATATGTGCTGCAATAATGTAAAAAAACAGTACAGGCAACTTTTATGTCCAGTAAGGAAAAGTCAGATCAAAATGGTTAAGCATAGGGAGGGAAATTTCCTGAAAGCAATTAAATAGTAGCCCTTTCCTTGTTCTCAATTTCCTGGTGCTAACTCAGGAAGCGTATACATGAGCAAAGAGGCTGCTCTGACGTGCTGTAACTACCATGCTCCAGCAGACTCCAGCGTTGCATGCATCAGCATCCCTGCACTGAAAAATGGTGGCAAGGGCACTTTAAGTAAAGCTTGTTTGACAAGCTTTATTTAAAAGTGCCCCCACAAGATACTCCAAGCACTTTAATTAGAGCCTCTAATTAAAGCACCCTCTCACCCCCCACTCCCAGGGCCTGCTTAACACTTATAATACCTTTTTTCCAGCTGCAGCTGGACCCGTGTCCTAGTCAGAGAAAGGGACATGGGGAGCTCTGATTTTCTGTGATAAAAAACCCAAAATCAAATGCCAAAAAATCATAGTTATTTAGAATTTGTTTTATTATAGTGATTGGTACACTGGTAGGCTTCCAAATTGCTTTAAAATTGTAAATATATCAATATAACATTGTATTCAAGTGATACCTATATATCTAGTGGCGTTTCATTTTAATTACTGAAAAACACAGATTTGGGGATTTTTAATCAGATAATTTATCATTTTTAAACACAGAAAACCAGGATCCCTGGCTCATAAGGAAGATTGTTCTCTCTCTTCAAAATGTTGCTTTTTTGTGCTACATATTCCATTCGAAACAAAAGTAAACTAAAAAGGAAAACAAAACAATAAAAATATCCCAGTAAACTACTGTAGGTATGTAAGTTTTAAGCCAAGAAAAGTTTCAAAAACTTACAAGAAAAATGTTCGTTTTGATTATGCTGATCTTTGGTTACCATACTGTACGGGTACCACAAGATGTCGCTTTCCTTCCTGCCTTTACTTCAGGTTGTCTCCTGAAACTGTTAGACTGCTATCCAGAAACTTCAACTACGTCAGATTACTTTTAGATGTATAAATAGCAAAGACTCAGAATTCCTCATGAGACTTTCAGCTCGTTGAGCATGCCGTGTCTGAATCTGTGCCAGTAGCCTCAAAAGCTAACTCAGTAGTGAAGACCTGTTGCAAGACATCTGTTTGAAGAAGAGGTGAAGTAGTTATATTTGACAAAACTATACAATAGAATTGGAGCTGCTCTGTAATTATCTGACACCGTGTATTGACTCGGTATTGAAAAGTTTACAGGGGCCACATCTACACGAGCGGCAGATTACACAGTTGTTATTAAGCAGTCGTTTAGTACTTGCATAACCAAGTACTAAATAACTGTGCAGTACCTGGCATTACTACGCAGTACCTTCTCCACACGTTTTTTTTTTTCAGACGCTACTGCACAGTCGCAGTATGCCATTGTTAGTGTGCACCAACGTTACCGCGGAGTAGCAACGACTTAATGCACAGCAGCATCTCATGCAGATGAGCCCTGTATGTATATAATCATTTAGTTTAATAGGAAGGAAAAAAAACAACCTAGGAAAGGAAAGACAACCTTCATCTACTGTTTGCAGAGAGCTATCTAATAGGCAAAAACCTAGCTACTGGCTATCTAAACACTAGCTCAGTTTTGTCTAGAAAGACCAAAACTAGGAACACAAAAGAAAGAGGATAGCAGTTTAAATAGCATCTCTCCCTCTCAAGAAAAGGGGCTCCCTCTTCCCCTCCAAAGAAAGAAGAAGATGAAGAAGAAGATGATGCCTGGAGAAAACAATCTGATTTAAAAGTGCACACTAGTAGTGTCTGAAGAAGTTTAGACCTGCTTACCGGGGTTGCCATCAACAATTTGTAAAGTTTTCAGTAAACTAGACATGCATATAGACTGGTTTTCAATCTTTTTGGACTCAAAACCTCCCTTGGAAAACGCCAGCTCTGTCTCTTGACTACAGAAAAATAATAACATATTTCTTCTGTTGCAAGAACTCAGAATGACCACCATAATATTTTTGACAGTGTGAATTTCTATTTGAAATCACATGATTCACAAGATAAATCCAGAGCAGATGTTTGCACACTGAATAGTGCTGATATTGTGCAGCACCATAGTTGAGAATCAGGGATGTAGACTATTTTAAAATCCTATCTTCAAAAGATTTATTTCCTATAGTTAAAATAAACCATATTTTGGTTCAGAAGGCCGTTTTGTCACTGTATGATGCTGGTCACACAATCCCCAAGGAAAAAACTGCAGGAATCTCAGACCTGCTGCTGAGTAACCACAGTTGATTAACAGGGTGCTGCAGCCTAGGACCCAGTTTATGACTGGAACAGACACAGAACCTCATGCCAGGGAAAACGAAGGCATGAAGTCTGATAGCTATGCAGCTTAGGGAAATGGAGATTAAAAGAGAACAGGATGGAGTTTTTCGCACTTGTCTGAGCTTTGTTTCAGAGTTAGCATTTTTGTTTTCAAGGACCAAATCAATTTTAAAATCTGAACAGTCTACACAGAAGAGTATATATGGTTGTACCAAGGAGACAACAACATAGTTAGAGATCTTTAGAGCTGCATCCTCCAATTTCTCTGAGAGGGAGAATTTTTCTGGTCTAGTGAACTACAAAATAATCCTCAGATGCTGAAATTGCCTACTTAAAGGTTGTAGGAATAGAAAACAGAACTTGGATTTCCCAGACAAAAATTAAATTAGCCTTTCAGCAATCAGTCACACGGGCAGTAAATGCTATTATCTAAAACTACAACTACTAGCAGTTCTGCTGTGAAACATGACTTGAAATAGCATTATTCGTTTTGTATTTATTCCCTGCGTTTGATCAATTTACTTCCCCTCACTCCAACTTGAGAACCTAGAAATCTTCAAGTCAAGCTAAATTTTTTCTTTTGGGGATATAAGAGATTCCACAAGTCCTCTTCTGACTGTAAAACATACATAGCAACTTACAACTCAAATATTTTTACCACTTCAACATGCTGTGACCAAGAGGAACTCACAACACTTACTTTCCAAGTCAGATATGATGAGATTGTCATGAAGTTTCACAGCTCGGTGTTGTTCTACTTCATCTTCTAACTCAAAGATCGTTTCCTTCATGTCGCTTCTTTCAGTCTCCTTCTCTTCTAGCTCTGTCCGAAGCTTTTCTAGAGTCATATTGAGATCTTCAATTTGCTTCTTGGCTTCTTCTTGGAAGACCCTGTATTCATCTTCAACCTAAACAAAAAAAACCCAAAAGGGACCATCATAATGAATTAAAGATAACGATTTACATTAATATCAAATGTCTGCATTTTACCACAACACTCTTAAGATGTTTTTAAAAAACACCATAACTAGATTTTAGAGTAAATCAATACCAAAATGTTTTACACAAATTCATTAGGAATTGTTATGCATGGGATCATTGCTGCACTGGAGTGATCAATTTTTGCTTGTATCGACACATTTAAACAGCTAGCACAATTAAAGAATTTAAACAGCTTCTGGACTGCTATGCCATCCTATATCAACAGTAACAGAACGGTGCTGAAATACAAATCAAAATGACAGCCAGCCAAAAAAACGAACAATATTTCGCCCCCTCTTTGTTACAAGAACAGGATTTAAACATAATGAAACTCAGAACCAATTTTTATCACCAAATCTCAGTAGCAGACAAAACTAGAAATGATGTAGCCCTAGATAACTCTTCTAAAGGATATTAAGGATAAAAATGTTAAAGGATGTCCACTTGCCCAATTCCAACTAAAGTTTGACAGATTTTGTCACATGTACAGTTTAGGTCATGCCTGATCAAAGCAGGGTGCATTGGTTTATAAATATCAATAAAATTGGTTGGGTTGTTTTTTGTTTTTTTTTTTTAAATCAACAAGCAAGAAATCTTAAATAATGGATTTTAATTTTATTCATTTGCACATTCAGTATTTTTTTAAATAGATTTATAACCATTAAGACAACTTGATTTCCATGACAGTCATTACACTAAATTTGATGGTAAAAAAAAGGGAAAGGAGGAAAACAAAAGAATCTAACCAACACAGATGGCAAACAGATAAGCAATTATATACACACTTTCACTAATGCCCTTTGTATTAAATAATTAAACTAAGTAAACACTGAGAATGTCATTTATATAAATAATGTTATTTATTATGTTGTTATTATGCCTTGTGGTTAACAGTCAAAAGCAGCTTGGCACATTTTTAATTCCAAAAACCCAGCACTGTATAACTGCTTTTGAGTTAATCTAAAGTGTGCTAAATACATAAGAGAGCAAGGATTTCTTAGGGTGCAATCTTTTTACTGGAGCAACTGCATAGTTGGGATACAGTTAAGCAAGCTTCCAAATGCAAGACATTCTTCATGAAGTTGGTCCAATAAAAAGATAACACCAGGGAACCTGGTTTTCTCTGTTTAAAAATAAAAAATTCTCTGATCCTGTATTCTTGAAAAACCCCAAAATCCACATTCTTCCGTGATTAAAATGAAATGCCACTATATATAGAAGTATCAGTTGAACACAACTTTTTATTAATATATTTACAATTTTAAAGCAATTTGGAAGTCTACCAGTGCCTTAATCACTACAATAAAATAAATTCTAAATATCTATATATTTTGGTGTTTGATCTTGTTTTTTTATCATGGAAAAATAAGAAGCTCCCCTGCCTCCTTCATTCACCAGGACGTGGATCCAGCTGTGGCTTCCCCTCTCCCCGCCCCCGCTTTGTGGCGCTGAGCAGCCCTGATATACCAGTGACCTTCCCCTGCCCATGCTGTTGCCCCTCCCTCCCCACCCTCAGCCTTGCCAGTGCCCCTCACTCCCCACCCCCAGCCTCCCCAGATCCCTCATTCCAAACCCACTGCACCCAACACCAGGCTCCAGCAGGGATGGGGGTGTATGATCACAAGCACTGTGCTGGTGATGTGCAGGGTGGGGAGAGAAAGAGGAATATACCCACCCCCCGATTTCTGCACCCACAGCGGGGTGCAGAGCTGCAGCCAGGCAGGACAAGCTTTTGGCAGGAGCCACCTCCGCAGCCTAGTGGGCAGGACCCAGTATGGGAAGGAGCACCATGCCGCCACGGCAGCCAAGGTAAGGTGCCTCCTGCCCACCTGGCAGCAGCAGGCGGCACAACTCCCTGTGCCAGGTCCCACCTGCTGGGCTGCAGAGGTGGCTCCTGCCCAGATCTGGCCCAGCCCAGCTGCAACCCTGCACCCTACCACACATGCAGAAATCAGGAGGGAAGAGAGGGGGGTTCACCTGCCCTCCCCCCACCCCACCCATGGCCTGTGTGCCCCTCCCCCAAGCCCCACAGATCTCACTGGAGTGACCTGCGGAAGCTGCTCTCCACAACACTGCCTAGCTGCCACATGCATGTGGCACCCCCTGCATCCCAACCCCAAGCAGCCCCTTGCAGCCTGCAAGGGGAAACCCATGGTTTCCAAGGTTTTTCTCTCTAAAAGGAGAAAATCCATGTCTTTCTGCAGCAAATGGGAAACCTGGATCCCTGGATACTACCCTAAGAAATCCTTGCCTCTCACAATTCCTTGGCCATCAGGACTACAACATTACTCTAACATTACTGAATACAAAAGGAAGTGTGAGTGGAAAAATGGTTCCCACTTACACGTAAGTTATTTTTTGAACAATGGAAGTATTTTCTGTCATCAGTGAAACAAGCTAACTAGTTCTGGTTACCATGTCCTTTGCACTGAGTTACTATTCACAAATTAGAAGAGGAAGATGAGCTTTTCTGCTTTTTCAACTGTAAATGAACCAGTTACCAAACTGAACAAACTGAAGTGAGAAAAATATTCCCCCTTTGCACCTACAGACAGGTCTACACCCATCAAAAGCTGACGTTACTTCAACAAACTCTGGTTCTAGATCCTTGGCCAATGACTTCTCCTAATTCAATGGTGCAACATTCTTTAAAACTTTGGCAACAAACATGAACTACCTGAATATTATTTTAACAGAGTATAGTAAGTTTATGCCTTAATACAAGTTACTGTAATGTCAAATAGATTTCTTTTTGAAGAAAAATTCTACTTCAATTAAAAAAACAACAACTCTTTTGATTTAAGACACTGATTTTTATCTACGCTCTGACCAATGTCTATAAAAAAAAACTAATTAAAAAAAAGGATATACTTTTTTTTGGGCAGTGGAGAGGTCAGGAAAATGGGAAGATACAAAGCAGTCTATTTGAACATAGGCATATTCTAGTAACAATTATAACTTATCACATTCTCCCAATAAACAATTGCTTTGAAAAACTGCATCCCAAAACCAGTTTTATAACACACTACCTTAGCAATTGCATCCTGCAATCTATTGGCATCATTGCGAGTGTGTGCCAGCTCTTCCTGTAGACCACTGGCCAAGGTTTCTGCTTTTTCCTTATCCAGTCTGACACTCTCCAGCAAATCTTGTATATCCGATTTATCCCCAGAGTTGTGTATGGAGTACAACTCAGCCACTTTTTGCTTTTCATGCTCCAACTGAGCTTTTAGCCTGTTCATCTCAATCTGATCACTGGCTACTGTAGCTTTATACTCATCCAAGTTGGCTGCTAGTGCAGTCTTGGTTTTTTGCTCTGACTCAACAATTCGCTCCATGTGGTGGTTGCGTTCCTTTAGCGCACCTATCATTTCTTGGGCCTCTTTATTATCTTGTTCTGCCATCTTGAGAGTGTTGCTCAGATGTTGCTGAACACCCAGCAGTTGCTCTCGTTCAAAACGGGCGTTCTCTGCAAGGTCCATGTAACGTTGCTCTAATTCCATGTAGCGTCCACTCTTCATATCTTCATCAATAACGTAAGAGATGTGGTGTTCATCTAAGAGGGAACGAAAATACTCAATCTGTCGGCTGAAGTGCTCTAGCTTGTCACTTTGTTGGCATAAGGACTCCATAAGAATTACCTTTTCTTCTCCGAGTCTTTCATTTTCACTATTCAGTTCTTGAGTTATTTGTTGTAAATCTGCAAGTTCCTGAAGTGTTGCTTGAAGCTCCTCAGCTGTACTATGCTGGTTCTCTTCCATCTGGTGTATTCGTTCTGTTAGACAAGCTACAGACACTTCACTGGCATTACCACTGCTTCCTTTCCTAGACCTTTCTATGCTTGGCACACCTTCAGACTCTGAAGATGAGGGAGCATCTAAGGCATCGTCACTTGATGTAAGTGGTTGATAAACTTCACTACATTCACTGTCTAAGTTATCCATGGAGTTACTGTGTTGATTATCCATCAAAGTGTTTTCATCCTGACTCAACAAATCTTCCATTGATCCAGGAGCAGAACCTTCCACTGAAGATGTAAGAGTACCACCACCATCACTGTGGTTACTAGTTGCAATTTCTGGGCTCAAAGAAGGGTAACCAAAAAGTTTTTCAGAGTTATCCAGCCTTTGCTCCAAAGAAAAGCCCAAAGCATTTAATCGGTCCTTTAGCATTCGATTCTCATTCTTCAACTGATTGAGCTCTTCTCGGATGGCAGTGTTTTGTTCTTGTAACTGTAGCAATGTAGACTCCACATCAGTTGGCTGGTGAACAACAACAGCCTCTTTTTCCTCAGTCTTTTCATCACTCTCACACTGATCTTCATTAAGGCCCAGTTGAGCACGCATATCTCTGAGTTCATTCTTTAAGTGTAAAATCTCTACATCTTTAGTTTTTGCTAAAGTCAGAAGATCTTTCACTTTAGCTTCTAAAGCAGCTTTGTCACTGATCTGATTGTCCGACTTGGACTTGCTCATACGAACATCGGATTCTGGATTAGTACGACTTCGAGAGCGTTTTGCCAGTACTGTATCATTAGTCCCCTGCCCCATTAAAGGCAGCTTTTTGCTCTGGTTTAGACGGGAACGATCACGTATTCTCTCTCTAGAAGAGCTAGATTCCTTATTTCCAGATGAAGTGCTACGCTTGGTTGTGGAAGTTGTACCTATACATTTAAAAAAATTAAGAATATTAATTTAACCAAAAAAAAAGGAAAAAAAAAATCATATTAAACCATGTATGTTGCCATGCTGCACACCTGAACCTGAATAATAACATTCACATGATTCATAATGTTCAAACTCCCCTGAATGCCTCAGAAATCTGGGCAACTGTATTTTAAAATCATCATTAACTGTTCCTGTCAGTACTTCGACATGCCCTTTCAAAATTAAAATTGGAACACAGTGCTTGCAACAGGCAAAAAACCAATCTCCAAGTTACTAATAAACTGTACAGAAAAGGAATAAATATACATACACTGACATCTCACATTTTCTTAAGGGAACAGTATTAATTTGAGTACTTGTATATTTGGATCCCCAAGAATGAAATGTATTTGAGTACTTAAATATTCTCACTCTTATCAGAAAATGTTGAAGTAGAGAACCATATTAACACTGCCTACCTACAAGTAGACTTGCATTTTTGTAAACTATATGGAACCCAAAGAATACCAGTAGACATATTTCCACTAGTTCTGATGAATGTTAAAGAACTTCACACCTTCCTATGCAGAAGCAGGCAATGCTACAACCCTACACAATGTTTTAATAAAGACATTCACTCCTTAATGCCTCCTGAAGTGGATATTTTTAGCAGCATTTGTCTACATTGGCAGCTTCCTCCAGAGACTATCAACATGAACACAATCATTTACTAGACCTAAAAAAGCAGGTATATGTACAGATTAAATTGTTGCCATGTTTTCTCAAATAATACAAGCACCTTTGCCCCCCAAAATTGGGATGCATGTTTTAAGCAGGAAAGCTGTTTTCTTTGCTGGAAAGTCTTGCAGCTGCCAATATGGCAGACTCTTGTGTTAACCCTTTCACAGCCGTAACTACTGACTGAGCACTGTAGCTTGTACATGAAGCAACAAGTGAGTGGCCTGTAGTATCTCAATGAGGCTTGTGATATACAAAAATACTTTATTTAAAAGAAAGCATATAAAGAATTACTTATAATAAAGAAATGACAGTCTTGCTACTGCCTTTGTAAGAGCCCAGGGAATAACCTTGTGTGACAGAGTAAGTCCTCCAGGAAGCACAGTGTCCAGCAAGCATGGCATTCTAAGAAACAGTATGAATCAGGCAGCAGACACCAAGAACTTCCTGGTGTCACAATTTCTGGACACTTTAGGTTTCCAAGAAGACTTACTCTGCCACAGCCAGCCATGATTCTATAAAAATTAAAAAAAAAAAAAAAATTGCCTTCAAGAATACAGTGCATGTTTTATTTGGGGCATGGCGTAGGCAAGAAAATACAGTATTCATATAAACGGATAACCAGAGTTATGAGCAAAATGCTCATAAATGTCTTATTTGGCTTTGGCCTTGTTGACCATATTGTATCCTCTCTACACAAAAGTTCTTTCAATATTTTCGTATCAGAAGAAACTAAAACCAAGAAAACAATCCATAAAGGTCAGTATTTCTTTTTACCTGTAATAGTCTTGGGTTTATTCTCCAGGTTATTCATGGTGGTCCCTGAAGCTGAAGGCACTGTAGATGTGCAGGTGCTCTTCTTTGCTTTCACACCATTGGTCACAGTCACCCCACCACCAGCCATCCCAGCTAAAAGGTCATCATTACTTTTTGTCTGGAAGCAAAAAACGGCATAAGTAAGACTAGGTAAGTAGTGGAGGAGCAGAATCATCAACTCCTCAACATTTAAAGTTAGAAGTTAATGTGTTAATTTTTATAATCTTTTATATTCAAAACCAAGGATATGCTTTTTGTTAAAAAAAAAAAAGGCTTACATGTATTTTTAGTTAAAAATCAGCCTGTCCCCCACAGTATTTATTATTCAACGTGTTTTCCCTTTCAACAGTTTCACAATAATGATGGTCACCTGTAATAGATCTTGGGAATGGTCAAAGGTTTATATGAGTTATGCTTTTTACTTAGAAAACTAGTTATACAGCCTAAATTGAGCTCAGAAGAACTATATACTGTTGTGCTTGTTGTACCTGATGATAGAAGAGAGTAGGTATAAAATCTTCTACAATTAAGGTATACAGCTTATCCCTGAATCAAGACAGGAACATCATGACATTCTAAAAGGGCTCCTAAAAAGCACAGCAGAAGTAAAACAATCAAGTCTAAAGTGTGTTAGAATGGGAGGAAAACCTTACTTTTCTCTCATTTCTCCATGACTATTTCATGAGACAGTTCATGAGAAATGCTTCCGTTTACTAGTGAAGGAGGAGATTATGATATGAGGATCATCTAAAGCATAAAAAGTGTGGCGTTCTGAAACACTGTCAGGAAAAGTTGACTGCATCCAAAAGCTCCTTAAAATACAAACTTTAACTAAAAAACTATCAAATTGTAGCATACCAGCTCCAAGACTTCATGTCTAATCTACTTCAGAATAACCCCACACAATACTACTCCCACAAAATAAAATAATTTACAAAGACACGCTGAACAAGTTACTCATCTTTTGATATTTTCTTACCAAAACTGACAGTGAAATTGTGCAGCTAAATATGACAGTTCAAACAGACTGCCAGTTCTCCATACTTCCGTCTTGTTAAAAGGACAAGTAAATTAAGTCAATTATAACTATTTATATGAATGGTATAAACTCATGCTACTGAACCAAATAGGTCAAGTTGTGAGAATGCTGCCCCGGTGGTGTGATTCAGCTTGGAGGGAAAAAAACAGCTCTGTGGTAAGCAAAACAGACGTATCTATAATAATAATAGGCTTATTCTGTCTGTCCAGAGCACTCTGATTGGTTATCTTGGTAGCCAATCACAATGCTTACTGAAACAACCAATCAGAGTGCTCCAGACAAGCACAGCATTGCTCCACCGAAGGAAAAAACAAAAAAAACAAAAAAACAAAACAACCAGCGAGGGGCCTGATCCTTTCCGCACCCCCCCCCCCAGCTGCTGGTGGTGGTGCGGTGGCAGGGGCCCCCCCGCGCGGGGGGGGGGGGGGGGGGGGGGGGGGGGGGGGGCCCTGCCAGCGGCCCCTGAGCTGCAGAGGGCCCCAATGCCTGGGTGGGGTGCCAGAGGATGGGTGCTGCCCAGGGGGCACTGCCTCTGTAGAGGGAAGCACCTGGGTCCCCCACAGCTCAGGGCCCACCAGCAGCTCCCCCCGACCCCAGAGCCTGTTCCACGAGCAGGATGGGTGCTAGCTGTGCAGGTGCAGCCCCAGCTCATAGACAGCACCTGCTGGATCCAATGGTGCACGGGGCACTGGAAGCCCGGGTGTGCTTGGGGAAGCTCAGGCTTGGTGGACTTCCAGGATCTCATGGCACATCCCCGCTGCCTTCCAGCCACCTGGAACCACCTGGGAACAGGATGGCTGCCCAGGGAAGGCAGCAGGAGGGCGGCAGGAATGATGCCTTTCAAGGGTGAGAAGTTGATTCCATTACAGTATTCATTCAAAGTATAACCAGAAATCCGGTATTTAAAGAAATACTTTTGCAATAAAAATTTAATCACAAATGTTTTGTGGGTTTCAGCTAGTTATGATAATATTAGTCATGCAAAGTCTTAGAAAAACAAAAGAATTCAAGACAGCCATCCCTCTTCTGCTTTGTCCACAAACTGCTTCTATTCTAACTTGGAAGTCATTAAATACTGTAATTTTGCCTTAGGATGCCATCTTGTGAAACTTTTTCATAAGATTAAAAAGCAGAATTGGCCAATGGTTAGTTTTTCTCTTGGTTTAACAATACTTGTAGCAATCTTGCTCCCTCTCTTTCTCCCCCCTGCTCCCTTCTTTTTCTTTTTAAAGAAAGGAACATTGTAAAAACAAGGACATTTCTATGACATACTCATTGAAATTTGTAAGTTGATAGCTGGGGTGATCTCTGAAGGAACCAGTTCATTCCAGTGGGTAAATAAAAATAAAAAAGACAGTTCCCTCAGATCCTGCACATACTATAATTGCTTTATTTAGCCCAAGTATAAGTATACTGCATTTTTAGGTAGCTTTTCTATATGTGAAGTCAAGCACTGAAAATGAAGGAAATTTGTGCAGCCATATTTTGGACCCCGTATCCATTGGCAACACAAAGCTATTACATGCAGCTAGCAGACACCACACAGGCGAGGGAGGCAGTGGTCATGGGATATCTGAACTACCCAGATATCTGCTGGGAGAAGCAGACAGCCAAAACAAGCCGCTCATGGAGGTTCTTACACTGTGTGCAGGACCTCCACCTAACCCAGGTGATGTCTAGTCCCACCAGGGGTAGCGCCTTGCTTGACCTGGTCTTAGCAACAGGGGATCTCGTGGGGAACATGCGAGTTCATGGTAGCCTGGGAGATAGTGACCATCACTTGGTCGAGTTCACTATCTAGCGAAGGGTGGGTAAAGTAACTAGTGGGGCTAAAGTGTTGGATTTCAGACGGGCCAACTTTAGCAAGCTTAGAAGGCTAGTTAGTGAGGGGATGCAACTCAAGAACATAGGGCAAATGGGGGTCCAGGAGGGTTGGAGGTATTCTCAAGGGAGTGATCCTTGGGGCTCAAAAGGAGTCTATCCCATTACGTAGGAAGGGAGGCAAGGGGGCAAAAAAGCCCCCTTGGCTGAACAGGGAACTCCAGGAGAATCTGGGAGCAAAGAAAGAGATGTATAGGCAATGGAAGCAGGGAGCAGCCACCAAGGAGGAATATATCTCCCTGGCGCGCTATTGCAGGGAATCAGTTAGACAGGCCAAGGCAGGGCTTGAGCTCAGGCTGGCTTCAACAATCAAGAACAATAAAAAGTCCTTCTTCAGGTATATAGTGGGCAAGGAAAGCTCAGAGCCACATAGGGCCCCTGCAGGACAAATCAGGACAGTTGGTGGTTGATGCGGGGAAAAAAGCAGAGCTCTTCAATGAGTTCTTTGCTTCAGTA